AACTAGAACGCACATGTTTACTCCAAATATGGTGAGACAAACCATATACGTAACAGACAGTAAAGATTAACGTTCAGTATTTGCTTAACCCATTGACTCCTGTGCCGGCTGTAACCCGCCGTGACGAGCCTTGGCCTTTCTTCCACTTTTGATGTCATCACCTTTGACCAAAATTGGCAGCATCTATACTCAACTTCTGCAGGAGGAAAAGATCTTTCCAACGATACCCAGATCAGAGTGATCAGCCCAATGGAGCCTGAGATATGCACAAAAATGCTCAAAAAGTTGAGTGAAAAACTCAGAGCAAAATTTCCTGCCACTACACGTGGCTACTCCATGGCAAAAATTGCCTGTCTCGATGATGCTTTCTCAGAATGTTTTAAAGTGGAAGCAAGCCCAGTAGAAGGTCAATCATTGCAGCAAAAAGAAAAGAAAAGGAGAAAAAGGAAAGGCAAAAAAAAAAAAATCAAAAAATCAGGAAGTCTAAAGATGTAGGTCACTTTCACATCTCAAAATTTTGATTTCTGCACATGCCCAAGCAAAAATGTCGTAAAACGTGATGCTAGTGGAAAGAAAGGCATGCTGTCATGTTGCAAATGCCATTTTGAGTAGATTGGAGCTAGTTTAGCCCATATCCAGCCTGGAAATATCCAAAATGTCCAAAAAATGCGTTTTTGGCAAAAAGCTCCAGGAGTCAATGGGTTAAAATGTGTGAAGCTGCTAGAAGAAAACAATTATTGTAGAACATATATAGTGAGGTATTTTCTAAGAAACCTGACTGAAGCCAAAGGCTCAAGCCTGGAACTCTAGGACTGGAGTGTTGAATCACCATTTTGAACACTGTGTCTTTACCCAGTAGCTTATGAATAAGTATACTCAAAACAGTCTTGGAATGACTCTGCTCAGTTCAGCTGCTCAGGTCAGGCCATCTGGATTTTGACTGAGTTTCTGATAAAAAGCAATTCTATGACAATAGTAACTGTTGGCCTTTTTCATTTTGAAGATCAGGGAATTTATGTCCAAGCTACCAGATGGTAAGGTTCCACAGCTTGATTCTAAAGGAGCAAGGTATTGGCTGAAACAGCGGGTGTACCAGATGCCTCTGCAAGATTTCTCTACTAAGCACTGCCGCAAACTGGCACTTGATCAAAAAATGGCAATGGATGACATGTGCCAAAAGAGGACAGAGAAGGCATTGGGTGTTGGTAAGAAGTTTACTTATTGACAAATCTTTGTAATAAATTTCGAGCAACTGAGGTCTGGAGGCTAATCAATAATTTGTTAGCCAACTAGTCACAGACTAATGAAAATTTAGATTTAGCTAGTAGGTGTGTATCTCTGTTAGCTTCTGTGGTTAGTGAAAAACTGCCATTTGAAAAGTGTCAGCTAAAATTTGAACCTGGCAAGTGTAGGTAGATATGACAAATTTGTTTTATTTACTATTTCTTATACCAACAGTTTTAAGAGATTCATTCCCAGATCTTGTGAATCATAGCAAGGCTTGAAAAAAACACACATTAACACATACTGTGCCAAAAATAAGCAGTTAAAAAATTGCTTTAGCTTGTGAAGTCTGACATGTCACTAGCCAGTGGGGCAGTTTTGTTGGTACCTAACTGGCCCGGGGTAGGTAACCCAACCCTGGGTTGTCAAGAGGAGCCAGCTACCAGTGAAAATTACTGTACTTCATGATCTCAGCTGGCTACTCTGCTTACTGTTCACCTTATTCTTTAGAAAAAGTTGGAAAAATCAGCTGCCTACTCCAGCAGTAATGCAATCTACTTCAAAGTTTGTGACAACCATGGAAAATCACCCTTTAGAAAGACTAGCATTAATATTTTATCCGAACTAACAGTAAGCACACTACACCTGACACTCAATAGGTGAACATTAACTGTGATACAGCTATGCATGGTAAAATAATTTCATAGAGTGATCTGATTTTCTGTGGTTTGCAGGGGCAGTGAAGACAGGCCTTACAGTGCCAGCATCCTGTCAAAGATGCAGCACGCCTATGAACATTGATGAGATGGCTGTGTTCGTGTTGCGCGCAGGACCTGACATGTGCTGGCATGTGCATTGTTTTGTGTGCTCTGAAGATGGTGAACTCCTGGTTGATCATGTTTACTGCTGGAATGAGGAGAAACAGATGTTGTACTGTCCACGGCATTGGAGTGAATCGCTGAAGCCCCGGTGCGCTGGCTGTGAAGAGGTACCATATGCTTGCTTCTGCCTGCATATTTTATAACATTTTTTCTGTGATAATTCTGTCATAGTTCCCAAGCTAGAAACATTAGTTTTCTTTCATTAGTTTCTGGCGGTGTGATAGTTCATCATGGTTGTAACCTGACTTTTTGTTCTTACTATCCACTGGATAAAAGATTTCTGTCAGTAATCACAACTTCATAGATTCTCAAAACTGAGAGTACATTTCATTTTGGCTATTTACTGTTATATTTCTTTTCTCTTTTTAATTAATGTAATTTCTGTAAATATACTGTTAACCTATTGACTCCCATGCCGCCCGTAACCGCCCGTGCGAAAAACCTCTCCAATTTTCTGTGTGGCCCGTAACCACCCGAAATAAAGCACGTGGGGACAATAGCATTTCTTACCCTCCCTGAAGACTTTTTGGTTCTCTTATTGTTCTATTGTTCTTGAGGACAAATAAACCAATCAAAATTGACTTACTGAGCATATTTTTAGAAGACTTTAGGGGTCCTAGAAAGATGGTTTTTTGTCTTAAAATTGTGCGCTCGTAAAGTGCAGGTCATCAGGGCGCGCTGTGGGGCAAATCTACAAACTTCAGAGGTCTTGTTTTTATTCCTAACAAGGAGAAATTACTACTTTGGGATTTAAAATAGAAACAAAAAATACAAATTAATGTTCAGGTGGCCTCAGAATGGAAGATCAAGGAGTATAGAGTCCTCAAACCTTTCTGGTGAAGAACTTTTCCATCCTTCAACTGCTTTGAAACATGACGATTGGTGCGCTTTCAAGTGAGTTTTGAACACAGATCACAGACTTAAAGCAGCTTCCTGGACTTAAGAAACAAAAATGGTAATGTCTGTTATTGCTTCAAAGTTGAATTCAACTTTTGGAACGATCGGTAAAGCCACGGTCGATAAAATGACTGCAAACGTGGTCGGGAGAAACTCAGAGATTTCGCTTTAGCGTGAAGAATTAATTTGAACATGCCGTCGTGCAGTGAAGCACGTCTGCAAAATTTTCAACATATTTTTGCTTTTAAATAGGTTTCTTCACCTCAGCGTGAATGAAAATTTATTATCATTGAACTTCCTTTCGCATTTCTTTCATTTAGTGCCCTGTTTTGGGGAATTTTAGGTTTTAAAAGTGAACAGTATTTTTGCACGCTAGCTGGATTTCTGCATATTTAATTTACGGCGACCTCTGCGGTTTGTTTGATTAGTTTATTCGCTTCGTTCAAATATACTTTTTCGAGTCTTATTCAGCTATTACAGAACTGGCAAGAAAAGAACTAAGCGTCTTCTAATCTAGCACAGTTGAAATACGATTCAAGATCTCAAAATAATTAGCTTGTTTTTGTCGTCTTTTTGACTTACAACTCTTCCTTTCGCAGCGCTGTAATATTTCGTTGGCAGCAAAGAAATTATTTGATTTCTTGCTTTCAAATTGGTTTTTACATGTGCCTTTCGTGTTTAATTTCCGTTGTTTTCTCAAATGTTAGCTGTTATAGTACAAGAATGGACATTCTGTTGTATTTGGTTTCAATTTGTTCTCCGAAGTCAATAGTAACTCATTTTCTCATATTGAATTTTCTTGGCTTCTTTCGGGCATTTTGTTGCGTGGCAAAGAAATAATGTAATTTCTTGTTTTCTTATCAGTTTTAAACATCAAGTTGACTTCTTTTTGTTGATATTTTTTAATATTTTGGCCCTTCGTTTATTTAACTTAAAGTAAACGATGTCTTGAAGCATAATCTTGTGTGTGTGGTTGCTGCACATATGGTTTATTTTTAGTGCTTGTGCTCACTCTGAAATGTCCAAAAATCGCCCGGGAATTTAGCGGTGGGTCGCATGCAAATCATGCGGAAGTCAATGGGTTAAAGTTATAATTTTTGTAAATAGTACAAAACAATTAAAATCTGATCTGATCTGATCTGAGTAGTGTAACAGGCAACAGTTGTGTCGACCATGAAAGTATACATACAGAGATAAAACATTCACTTGTGTTGGCTAATTCATATTCAGTGTTATCGTTGTGTTCATTGTCGTCATCATAATCATCACCATAATCATCATCATTATTCATCATTATTTTCTTGTTACTCCGTGGGACATGAAAAGCCTCATCAGGTAATTGTTTTGTCCTTTTCATAGCTTATCTATGTTGGAGAGTACTCCCAAGCCATGGATCAGAATTGGCATCCTGGTCACCTCTGCTGTTATTTCTGTGACGAGTCCCTGTCACAGCAGAAATTTGTGACTGTTGAAGGACAGCCAGCTTGTGTCACCTGCTATGACAAAAAGTTTGCCAATCACTGTGAGAATTGCAAGAAACCCATTGGTCCTGGCACTAAAGATGTTGATGTACGTGGCAAGCACTGGCATGAGGAATGCTTTGTTTGTTCTCAGCAAGACTGTAATAAACCTTTGGTAAGTTTCTCCTAAACATTCTTGCACCTCTTGCTGTCCTAAGGGCCATCTGCATTGGGTAGCTCATGTTTGACATTTACATGTGGTTGATGCGAATCGAAATCACCAAGGCTTGTCTAGTTGTTGTTTGTTTTGTTGCTCGATTTCAAAGCAAATTTTCATTTATTAAGTAAATGTCTCTGCATTGCAGCAAAATTCTCACCATGCAACGTTTTAATTGATATTTTCCTTAAAGTTAATTAACAGATCTACAATGTATCAGTACAGTTTGATTGTTGACAAAAAGTTTGTTCTCTTATTCAGGACGACTGAGCTTCTTGTCTGAGTTTGGGAAAGGTTAGCAGAATTTCATGCAACAGAAAATTGCAGTTTGCATTAAAAATAAAAACTTGCCCAGTGCAGATGGGTCAGGACTATGATATCAGTATACCTGGTGATTTTGCAAGAGTTAAGTTTTTGACATTTCAGACTGACCACATATAAAGACCTTAAACTTGTATTTCTAAAATGTTTCATTGCTTGCTTCAAGAGAAGTGATAAGGAAAAAAGGATTACCTAATTCTCTTTTTGTACAGTGAAACCTGTATTAAGTAGAACCCATATTAAGCGGACACCCTCTGTTAAGTGGACACCAGCTTCAGTCCTTAAATTTTCTTCCCACATTTACTGTAAAATAAACCTGCATTCAGCAGACACCTCTGTTAAGCAGACGTGGGCGCCAATATTAAGCCATTTTGTTGCACAAAACCTGCAATAAGCAGACACTTCAAGGGCTTTTCACTTCTAAAAGCTCAACCCAGACTCCTTAAACATTCAGTGAGGTCATTTTAAAGCTAAGTAGATTATTCCAGATTGATGGATGGACTGTCTGGACATTGTGCTATGAGCAGTCTTTGACCTTACCCTAGACCTTACACTACTGAACTATACAAAAGGGTTAATAATTAACTATTATCGCTGAACCTGTTTAGAGTGGACACACTGTATTAAGCAGACACTACTGAGGGTCCCAAGGGTGTTCGCTTGATTTAGGTTTCACTGTATTGCATTTGTGACTGATCTTATTGATTTTATGTTGTAGTTAAATCAAGGCTTCACCTTTAAGGGTGAGAAGTTGATTTGCCATCTGTGCCGTGGCATAACACCATCTAAGGTTTGTGAGGCATGTGGGGGTGACTTTGCCCAGGGAGAGAAGAAGGTTGGATACCAGAGCAAAATATTCCATGAGAAATGTTTTGTGTGTGATGAGTGCAAACAACCGATTGGCACTCAGCAGTTTGTCAGGAGAGACGACAAGCGCTTGTGTGGAAAATGCTATGATACAGCTTATGCTAAGGTAAGTTACAGCTGAGGTTGTTTTACCAAATTTACTTATTTTGTGATGGGGTGGGACTGGATAATTATTTTGTCCTAGATGGCTATAACATGTGTTATGCCAGCTTTTCAGTTGTTCAATTTCAAAGCATAGCTTGGTTGACCATAGTGGATGTTCTCAGAATAAGGAGGCCAGGGGTTTTACAAAATTGCAAAAAAAAAAAAGCAACTATACATCTAAAATTTCTCTTCATAATAAGTATTATTTTATTCACATCATTATATATCTTGAACTAGTATTCATGAGTAGATCTTATAGTGTGATCGTCTGGGTGAGGGTAGTTCTGAAAAGAACTGTTGTTGGTGACAAAAACAACAGTCTTTTCAGAACTACCCTAGCCAAGGCAGTCAAGCATGGCTGTTTGCTAACCATAATTTAAAAACAAAGTTAGTAAAAAATAAATTAACTATTTGCCTAACCAGACTTGCACCAGGTGTAATGAGACGATCAAGTCTTCATCAGTAAAGCATGATGGTAACATATACCACTCAGAATGCTTTGTCTGCACTATGTGTTCACAACCTCTTGCTGGAAAGCCCTTCACCAAGCACGAGGGTAACAATGTCTGCCAAGATTGCTACCGCATTAATTACGCCAAGAGGTGCGCAGCCTGTCAGAATCTGATAGAAGGGAGTGTCAAGTTTGTAGCTTATGATGAGGAGTTCTTTCACCGAGATTGCTTCACATGTGCAAAGTGTGGTATTCCACTGGCTGGAGAGAAGTTCCGTGTAGTAGAGGGTGAAAAAATTTGCATAAAATGTAGTTCTTAGATAAATTAAACTGATAACTGTTGAGTCTGCAGAGCTGGCAGCCTTTATGCAAAGTCTCCCAGCTATGCAGGATCATACTGTCAATGTAACTGGCTGAAAAGCATTGCTATACGATACAGGTGAATGTTTTACATCTTGGAGTGATAAATTATTTAAATTTTATTCTTTACGGAGTTTGGACTTTTCTTTTTAACTGGTAATCAAATCAAATCAGATGTGCAAATTGTTGTCATTGTTTCTAGCATTGATTATCTTTTATGTAGATAAGTTTTTAACAGCGTTTTTAAATTTCAAAGTATTGTAACTGTTTTATTGATTCAAGAGTTGGTATATTGGTTCAACTGTTTTTAATTGATGATTTGTTTATTTGTCACACGGTATTATTTTCTGGAGGAATGGACAAAGCTAGATATAATATGTACATCACAATGATGTGGAGTTAAAATTGTTATACTGAATTAAGCAAGAAATTTGTTTCTTTACATGGTTGTTGTTTTCGGGGCTATGGGCACAATTTTTTATGCCTGCTGTCATTTTGTCTTAATGAAAATGTAAACAAGGCTGGAGTTGACTTTGTGGCAGTTTTCAACCATCTAAGATTGTGTGAACCATTTGAAATATTCTTTTCCTAGGAGAGTTGTTATTTTACGTCAGCTTGCATAGCAGTCACTTGCTTTGTTTGATGATCTTAGTAGTGATTGCTGTTTAGGCTAGTAGCAATATTAATATAATAACTACTGTGAAAGCAAATCCTGGATTCATGATAAATGATGAGATTAACAAAGCACTACTTTTATGGCAAGCAGGTCGTGGGGTTAAAATTTCTCACTCAACTGACAAAATTCTGTGTGTGAACTTTGTCACTTCTGTTTATAACATAGCCAGTACATTCCACAATCCATATTAATAACCCTTTTCACAGTTAACTTTCCTCATTTGCATTAGTAACAAAGTAATCTAGCGAGTTTGTGAGGCAATTTCAAGCTATTTTGTATTTTGAGCCCAAAATGGTCTCCCATCCAAGTTGGATTACATTTTAATGCAAATGAGAAAAACTAACCCCGAAAAGGGTTATGGTACAAGTGTGCATCTTTAACTTGATGAAAGCACATCCATGCTCTGTAAATTTGTTTCAAAGTTTACTTTGTCGTTTGAGTGAGTAATTTTCTCCATAGCTTGCATCCCTTAAAGATAAGTTATGTCACTAAGAAAGGGGATTAGTAATCCACTTTACCCCACTGTCCCATCACAATGTGAGAGGATAACTCTGGCAACCCTGTTTTAGTAGTACTATCATTCCAAAAGGTCTGAGCATCTTGCTAGTTAAGAAAATGTCTCCCGATTCAGGGCCATGTTATCAAATTTCCAACAAAACTTGACTATTCTCCCCAAATGGTGTTTATTTTAGTTGCCCCCTTCCCTAGGGGTATGGAATGGTCCTTGAAAAGTGATGGGTCTGGGCAAATTTTCGATGTCTCTAAATCTTGGCATCTCAAGCTAGAGTCTTGGAATTCTCGAGCTCGTTAGATTCTCGGAATCTTGTATTTTGGAATTTGAGTCTCTTGAGTCTTGCAAGCCAAGCGACAGTTTTGTCTGAATAAACTGTCAGAAAACAACAGCAACAACACGGCTTAACATTGCAAACATCGCTATTGGGAGACATGTAGGCTTGAATAAATTCTGCTTGTAAGTTGACATATTATACTACTGGCAATGTGTAGTTCCGGAAAATATCCATACCCACCCCAAGGAAGGTTAACGGAAATTCCAAGGGGAAGGGGGGTTTCGAACGCCTAATTTTTTAAAGGAAAGCATGGCACTAAAATGGAATTTCGAGGGGTGGGGGGGGGGGGGGTTAATTGTACTTTCTTCTATTCATCTTTTGTTCTAAAACGTTAAGGACGTAGTTGAAATCGTGGGTTTTAGCGCGCAAAAAGGGGAGGTGTCNNNNGGAGGGGGGGGGGGGGGGGGGGGGGGGGGTTCAAGCTAGAAAACCTTTTGTGGGAGGGGTATGGATGTTTTCTGGAACAACACAGTGTGAGACATAGAGTGCTGTGAACTCTCGTGCTGAGATATCTTGATCACAGCGTCTCAGGCCTGGATTTGAAAAAGTCTTGGTCTTGCATTTTAAATGAGGGTCTTGGTGAGTCTCGGATTTTACCATTCTATACCCCTCCCCCTGTCACCTTAGAGGTAGGCTCTTAGGTGCTCTGATTGCACTAAAGCTAGTACTAGTTGGTAGTTAGGTAATTTTAAATGTGAGAATCACTGCCCGGCTTTCCAATGTAAATTTTGGGAGAAAAAAAGAGATCATAAAAAATTCCAGAACTCTTAGTCTGAGGTCTAAGAAATATTGTCATCTTTCGAAAGACTTTGCAGTGAGCCAAAAGGAACTTGTGAAGAAGAGGACGTTGTTGTGGCATTGTAAATGATTGATTCTAGAAATCATTTGTAACAAGTAAAGTACCTGGTACAGGTATATTACAGGTAGTTAATATGATGTAAGGCAAAATCCTGTCTAGGTTGAAATAGTATTGCAAATCTTTAAAGAGTGACACTGTTGAAATCCTATTTAAAGTTATTGAAGGGCTAATTATTTCTCTGAACCTGCCACAGTAAAACCAGCGTCCAAGGGAAACATCAGAGTGAGAACAAAAATACTCTTGTGAAATAAGACTAGTGCTATACTGTTGTGATCTGAATAAAAGACATTGCCAAAGTACACTGTTGCTGTTTTCTGAAGGATACAAACAACAACAACAACAACAACAACAACAACCATTTATTTGTACTCAAAATTTATAAAATAATTACAATAAACATTAAAGTAGTATAGAGTACTGCCTGCCCAAAATAACCATAAGGGCTAAAAAGAATGGGCAGACATTAAGTTACATAGATTATTTATACAGTTATCGGTCGGTAAC